GCCATTTAGAATTGTGTCGTATAACAGTCCACTTCCTTGTTTTGGCACGGTTGTGTTCACATCTCCCGTGGATCGTACTCGAGTACACATGAATAGTGCCCTAGACCACATCTTCAGGCACAGTATGCTATTAATTAGCACGCTAGTTGATGGTGAATATTGTGACCTTAATTTACCATATATTTTGATATAGTTGCATGTCAAAGAGTGGGAAACCAGCGATGTGTTCCTGATGATTTAGCTAAAAACCCACACTAAGATGAGAAGGCAAATGACTGCAAGTCATGGTGCTTTGTTCACATGAGACATATGTAATACAGCGTTGCATCAATCCTGCTGATTGACATAAAAAAGGGAAACATGGTCAGTGACACAACTCTTTATTGTATGTCGTTATATGTATTGCACAACCTGCTGTGAGAGACTGGGAAGGACATATTCATTTAAGGAGTTTCATACATCTTTTCTGATTTTACTTATTCAACAGTAGTTTGGCATTTTGCTTCTTTGTTTACAGAGATATATTCATCCAACCAACATGGTACACCCAGCAATAGATACAACTAACCTCAGCAGAAAGTGGGAAAACACAGGGAGAATTGTCAGGGAACTGGATCTCATTAAATACCTCCAACACAGTTTTCCAGTGAAGAACACGGTGAGGCGTTTATTCCTGAAGTGAAGAGCAGCGTCTACAGATTTTATTGTGTAAGGGAATCCAAAGTCTGAGATGTTTCTTGGAAATCCCTCTTCAAGTTTTAGTTGCCTCAGGATCCAGTATTTCTGACCTGAACAAAAACACTTGGTGTCAAATTACCAGTTATTCAAATGCTCATTACATCAATAAAGAAAGAGAGCACAACCAGAGACTTGAGATTAGAAGCAGGAGAACTGTTGGTTGGTTAAAATAACTGTAAACTGTGAATTAATGTACATAAAAGAGACAAATGTAATGTACATCTCCTAAATAATAAGCCTACTTCTTCCTGAAGAGTCATTGGTCTCAAATCAATTTCATGAGTCATACACATATTATTCTTTAATTTATGGTTCCATTTAGAGTCAGCTGAAGTCCGCAGGGTGTGTCTACCTGTGATAAGCAAGTTGTCACTGAGGTCACATGAGAACTAGGAAAGAGGTGCAGCTCTGTGTTTCTACCCTCGCATATAAATAAGGTCACTTGTGGTGTTGGCCAAACTAAAGGCTTCAACATGGTGGGCCATGGTATTCCATAAACGAGTTGAAGATGTCCCAGAGTCTACTTCCACCAAATATATATAGCCTACTGTAGTGTTGATGTCAAGACCCCTCTGACCGAGACCAAGACATGCCCAACACTAGAGTGCTCCGAGACCAAGACAAGACCAAGACGTGAAGGGAACGAGACCAAGACACTAAGGGAACGAGTTCAAGACAAGACCAAGACGTGAAGGGAACGAGACCAAGACAAGACCAAGACGTGAAGGGAACGAGACCAAGACGTGAAGGGAACAAGACCAATACGTTAAGGGAACGAGACCAATATGTTAAGGGAACGAGACCAATATGTTAAGGGAACTAGACTAAGTCAAGACCAGTGTGGTTTATAACAGGTGTAAATATACAGTGGCAATTCGAGAGTCTGTTGGGGCCTTAAGCATAAGTCTATTGGTTGGCCCTACAACCCGCGCCTTCCAATCAGTGTTCAGTTGGGCAACTGAACCCTCTTCTGGGGCCCCAAGAAGTTGTCTGCCTTGCCTGTTGACAATGTAAATATATCATTTTGACTAGAAATTAGATGAATAGGCATGCTAAGATTTGAGTTTTTGCCGGTCCCTGTCTTCTCCATCCACTCCGGCTTGTGTGAAGGGGGCGTGTCACTCACTTAGACCGAAACACCTGGAGGGATGCGGCCGTAACAGGGTGAAAAAAATTGAACTACGAATGAATTAAAGTTATATATTGATTTAGAAAGGGGTGTTTCCTTCTAATCATAGTAATTAAGTGGGAAAATAGTTCCAGTAGTGCTCTTGCCTGGTCTTGATTTAAAATCTGGAGTCAGCCTAGTCTTAGACCAAGACAAGACCCAGTGGAAATGTTATCACTTCTGAGACTAGACCTTCAAAAAGTGGTCTCCAGACTGATCTTGAGTTCTACAACACTACTGTATATGAAAGATAAATATCGCTCTTACCTTTGAAAAACACAATAACATTCCTCTCCACATTCTCATAAACGGCATCCAGGTAAGAAGGTACATTGTCGGGCCACAGACTGCTGATCAAGGTCATTCCTGTCTCATCAAATTTAGGATGTCTGCGCCACATAAATCTGAAAATCAGAAAGTTATTGGAAAAAAAAAAGGTTATTGATTTTCCTTTCACTCTGAGCCAAGGAAATCCAAGAGGAGTGTTCTATGAGGCAGGCCTTCTTTTTTAGAAGCCATCTCTGAAGCCATCAGCTAGCGTCTGATGACAGTGTTAACTCTGGGAGAGACTGCCAATTAAGGGTTCCCATGTCGCCAAAAAGGAACGTATTTGTTTCATTGGTGATATAGCCAGGTTAAAACCGAGCCACCTGGCTAACCCATTAATCTCACTTCGATTGTAGCCTTCTTTTGAAATGTGTGTGTGTGTGACTCTTCATTATGCACACATAAAGGTACACAGTTCATACCTGTCTTTGAAGAAGAGGACCTCCTGTTGTAGTTCTGATACTGCGTCAAATGATAAATCTGGATCACATTTGTCGGGTGTTCTTGGGGGAGGGTTTTTTGAGAACAGTGAATCAAAATTGGGACTTACACCTGCAGGCAACAAAGTAAACAGTACAGAGTTTCTTTGAGATTAAAACAATGCATCCCCATTGCTCTACATTTGAGCTTTCTTTCTAGGCTGAGAGTAAAACTTGGCTAAATAAAAAGGTCATTTTGAATTTCATTTTGATTGACTTCCAAACAGGGAAATTATGCTTTGTATTTTAAACTCACCATACATGTTTTGGACATCTTTGACATCACGAAAGGAGAGCTGGAGCTCATGAGTGGGGGCGAAGTTGTACGCAGGGTACATGATCGCTCCGAGGTCAGACGAGTGGGGAAGGCCGAGTGCATGGCCGAATTCATGGACTGCTACAGCTAACAGGTTAAAGCCTGGAGCATGAAGAATAAAGTATTAAAGGGCTGCAGGTAACAAAACCAGGCTAGCTGTTTTACTTACCTCCAGTCTCATCACAAATCAGCCGCTGGTCATAGATTAGTTTTAGAGTGAGAGCGTTACAAAGTCACTCAAGCAACTCACTGCAAGAAAATGATTGTCACCCACAAGATGGAGCCTCCTTTGTCAATATAATATGAACACTACATAACCTATTAATTATATTTTTATGGCTGTGAAGTTGCACCATCTACTGAGGATTATTTTTTTTTTTTTAGTGCAACTTTTAGTTAGCTTAGCGGTTAATGTAGCCATTCTGAAAGGAAAACAATGTACAGTATAGGTGTGGAAATAATTGTTTTCTCCTGCCTGCATGCGGTTTTAATGCAGCACTATGACATCTTCTCCTGCCTGAAACTTAATTTTTTACCATGTATTGTTTGTATATCTAATCATTATGATGTAATGCATCATATCATATCATTGTTTATCTTGTCGAACTGAACTGAATCCAATCCAATTGAACATTATCATATCAAATAATATTGTATCCTATCATATCCTTTTGTATTGATTCGTCCAATGTTTTCCTATTATATAATATTGAATGGTATGGTATCAAATCAAAATTAATTTAATAGAATTGTATTGTATTGTATTGCAACAATTGAATCGTATTTTATCTTATCATATCATAATGATTCATATCCTATCATATTGTATATAGCTCATCCTATCGTATAACATTGCATGGTATCAACATTGCATTGTATCAACTTTTTGGACTGGGGTGTCCCAGGACTGTTTTGGTGTTGTATTGTGTACGCCCTGTTGTATCAGTCTAAGTCTTTTCAAGAGCGTACATTTCACAAAACCAGATTCCTGTAAGTCAACAAAAGTCCACAGTCAGTGTTTTATTGAGTTTTTAAGATGTATAACTCTAATACCAGTAGAATTGAAGCTCCACTCTTCATCAGCATCAAAGTGAACGTCTCCTCCGATACCATAGCCGGGCTGGAAGGCATGAGCCAGGATCCCTCCTTTCCCATCGAAAGGTGAGCCGTCCTTATGATCTGCAGTGAAACATTGAGTGCAGTAAATTCTTGATGCCATACATGAATGTGAGGATCACTGCGACACTGCTCAATGCAACTTGACAGAGGATAATTCCTCTCTGTGGAGCTCACCTCCATTGTGGAAGGAGATGACGATATCAGCCTCTTTCCTGTTCCTCTTGCGAAATTTCATGGGTGCAACATTGGACCAGATCTTCCAGGCTGCTCTGAACACTTTGTGAACCTTTGAGGCCGGGATGGGAAAGTTATAGCCAGCGATCCTGAAAGGAACAAAGAAGCTGTATGAGATGAATTTAACATCTTTAAAGGTTTTTAAAAAGTCAATCAATGAAGAATATGCAATTTTTCATGTGAGTTCTCACACTTAAATGTAGCAGAAATTAAGTATATCCTCTGAAAATAACTCTGTGAGTCATGACTGTCTACAATGAGTGTGATGCTTTCCGAGCCGTATCTACAGCGTGTTTACATGACGGGACGGACAGCTGGCTCATCACCTAAGGTATAAAAGTTGTTTAATTGAGGGATTAGAGAAAAGAAGAATAACATACTGTACTCACTGCTTATTTGAATGTCACTTAAGCATCTTTAGATCACGGTCATATCAAAGGTATTTGATGGTGAACATAGTGTAAATGACACCTGTTAACCATTAACATGTAAGCATTGTTATTGTGTACATGTTGATATGCTTCTGTCAGCATTCAGTACAAAGCACAGCTTGGCCCACAGGGATAATAAGATGGTTTCACATGACAGAGGCTGTGATTTAACCTGATGCGACATGTTTGCTTTTCCATTGAGTCCCATCAGCACATTTTTTCCTGCCCCGCTCTAACCTGTAGCTGAGCGTGTTCTTCTTCCAGCGAATTGTCTCTTCAAATCGCTCCACATCCGACAGACCACAACGCGGCCTCCTCATCACCGCCAGAGTCTCGTTTGTCAGCTCTCCACTTGGAGGCAAGCCAAAGAAGTGCTGCATCTCCTGGACCTTATTGCAAAAGTCAGTCGTCCAATCATTATCCACATGTCCGTCTGCAGCCCTCTTCTGCCTCTGTGACTTTGGCTTGTAGTCGTAGAAGAGGCGTAGATATTCCTTAGAATGATAATGCAAAAAAGTGCATTGCAGCCGTCAGCTAAGTGTGATAAATGAAGCAACATAGTCTGATGCGTAATGACAGTTTTTATTGTGAATAATTGGACGTATTCACAGAATAAATAAAATAAATGAAAAGATCATACTGGAAGGCATGGGACAGATAGATTTTGGTAAGTTTTTTTAAATGAATTGAATTTCACTTCTCAGTTCTGTCCAGCAGAAGTTTTTGTCTTTACATTTTGTCTTTGAGGCTGATTTAAAAGTAATAATATAACATTTAACAAAATATACAAAACACGAGAAATGTAATTATTCTCCAGATATTTAGAAATACAATTTCTATCCAACATTATCCCATATAATGGGGGGTATCAGGTAAGTGCTGGGGCCTCATGCACTGAGCCAAAGTCCACGAGAGCGGACAGCTCAGGTTCAAATCTGACCTGTGGCTCCCTTCCTGCATGTCATTCCTCAGTTTCTGACTCCACTGTCCTGTCTCTAAAATAAAGGCATAAAAAGACCCAAAACATCCCCTCAAGTTGTTTCACTCCACACTCATAATGACTAACTGTGTGTGGCGGCTCTCATATTTTGACTGCTGTTATGTCCTGACTTCATTACATGTTAGCAGAAGATAACGCTGCCTCTGTAGACTCAACGTCTCCTGATGCTACTACTGCTCCAGAGGAGAGTTTCATCAGACTGACAGTGAAGCCAGGTGGCAGACAATCAGACGATCAGACGGAGAGCTTGTAAATAATCACTACCACTTCATCACTCATACTGTAACTCCACTGGAGGTAGAAATTAATTACTTATTTATGTTATGAAGACCTTTATTATGATATGTTAGTCATTACAAGGAATCAAAGTCTCTTGAAGTCAACAAAATGATTACATTCTGGATCATTGCTGTGAAAAAAGTCGATTAAAAAACAGCTCATAGCTACCATGCATCTGGAACTGATACTGAAGGTTAGACAGACAGATTAGCATTAGACAGTGTGTATGCAAAGAAATATATGTATCAGCACACACTTGAATAAATAAGTAATAAGCTGCTGTTTTTGTGTGTCTGACCCCCCTCTAAAATATGTAAATCCACAAACAATTTTACAAGGTTACACATTTTAGACTGATTGTAAAGCAGTCTGAGGCCAATAAATCTGTAAACACAAGCACAGATCCTATCAGCTAAAGAAGCTTTTAAGGAAATCCAGCCGTTACCTGAACCAACAAATCCCAAGCATACCTGAATAAAGCTGCACTTAGGTCAGAGTAGAGAGGCTATAAAGCTGTCCACAGTGAGTCTTCCATAAATAAAACAACCCTACCTGTAAATCTTGAAACCATCCAATGCACAAAAGAATACCTCTGCAAACTTCTGCTCAGCTTCAGGCGGTCCAGCGTAGCGTTGTGCAGGTATCTCGTCTTTGCTGCGGAGAGGAAAGGCCGTGGCAGGAGTCTGGCCGGGCATCACAAGAGTCAGAAGAAGTGTGAGCCAGAGCATCTTCATGTTTGACTGGCAGGAGTCCCAAAGAGTCAGACTGTCTGTGAGCTGCAGCTGCACAGACACTGCAGACACACAGGGCTGTATGTAAGCAGAGCTGCAGCAGGGACCACCTGTTAATTATGTTGAGTGCTCCTGTCCCAACAAGAACAGCAAGGGGGCTCCTCACAGAACAGGGTCTTCACAAGGACCCTTCATTACCAAATACATACCTCATATCTGCGTAGAAGTGTTTGCATAAAATAAGTCCATACACAAAAATCACCGTCGGATTCATGACACATGCGTGCCAGCCAGTTTTGTTCTCACCACTTTCTGTGTGTTAGTGAATCAGAATCATTCTAAATTGACAGACTCCTGGCTCGTGCCAACCTGCAATCATCATACTACCACGACGCCACCATCTCTCCATATAAAGGACACCCGATTGGTGTATCAGGACGAGAGCGGTGAGGTGGAGACACTAGAGACAAAAGAGTGTGTATGGGGGCCTAGATGCCGTTCCAGGGAATTCTGTATGCCTTGGAAGTCTGAATCAGTTGATAAGAACTTGATAAGAACATCAGATTTTTGTCTGATGCACTCTCTTCTGAAGGCACCGGCTGCAATTTCTTTAAGCAAGGCTGGATCTGCATGCCCTTAAATAAACTCCAATTAATCAGATGGGTTTTGATAACAGATGCGATATTTCATGACACTAATAGAGAGGTCAAGGATTAAATGAAATGATATTTCAATAGTCATATTCTTCATTGTCAAGTCTTTAATATAAGATTAAAGATTTTAGATTAAAGAAGTATAATAAGTATGAAAAGGCATCCTATGGTTATTTAATACATTTAGGCAATGCATTAGTAAATTCACGTTTTTAATTCTTGTCTATGAAACATATAGGCCTATTTGTCATGCATTTAGTTAAAAGAGTGTATGTTTACATTTTCTGAGAAAGCTGGTCAATCATTAGTGAGTCTGAGGAAGTTCTATTTTTGTTTGCAGAGTAGGAATTAATCCAAGTACATATAGATGAATCTCAGATTTTCATTGTTTCACAGTTTGTGAATGAGGCCCTCATTCACTAATATCTGTGTAGAAATGTTCTTCTTCTGCGCATAAAATAAGTGCATACGCAAAAGTTACGGTCGGATTCATGATACGTGCGTACCAGCCAATTTTGTTCTCACCACCTTCCGTATGTTAGTGCATCAGAATCATTGTTAATTGACAGACTCGTGCCCGCAACCTGCAATCAGCCACTACCACGCACCAATGTATCTAAACTCCTCAAAAAAAGTTTGGAAACCTTATTTCGGTCAATTATTTTGACCCTTTAATAAAACTTATTGGTGTTGTATTATATATCGTTGGAAAGCCTGATTAGTCCCCTTTACAACAAGATATAACTTGGAAGGATCTTGCATTTGTGGAATGAGCAACACAGCTAAACGTGTGCTCTGTTACGACGCACGTGTGGGCATGGATGTGGTTATAGCGCACCTCTTGAGGGGCTTCAGGATTTGCAAATGGAGTCATCAGCCAGGTTTTAAGGCCATATCCCCGGTCACCTAAAAACAACAACATTTTAGCATACACAGGATAGAGGCTTTAGATTTAATAAAATATAAAACATAAAATACGCTCACCAGCTAGCCATTGGTTTCTTACAGCTCCTGCCTCTAAACACATCCCTGGCCTCCTGGTCAGCGGGCCAAAATTAAAAGTAGACTGAGCTACTGGGGCGGCAGTAGCTCAGTCTGTAGGGACATGGGTTGGGAACTGGAGGGTTGCCAGTTCAAGTCCAGGTGCAGACCAAGCATGGAAGTTGGTCTGGTAGCTGGAGAGGTGCCAGATCACCTCCTGAGCACTGCCAAGGTACCCTTGAGCAAGGCACCATACCCCCTCCCCACCACCAGCTCAGGAGCGCCCACTGTGGGCTGCTCTGTCACTCTGACATCCCTCCTGTTTGTGTGTTTGTGTGTATGTGTGTGTATATACTTCAGCACAGTGTGTGTGTCATGTGTTGCATGATACAGAGTGTAAAAACTTAAATTTCCCTTGCGGGGATCAATAAAAGTAAATCTTTATCTTAAAACATTGAGGATGTGGCAGTCAGCATCACAGTCTGTAGATGGAGCTTTGATGCGCACCTGGGTGCAGTCTATTGCTCCAACAGTGTTTGGCATTCCAGTGATGCCATGCCCTCTTCACATCACTCTGGCTTTGTTCACCATCAGAGAATATAATGTAGTTGGCAATTTGCTTAATTATGACATTTAACACCATTGGGATGGCACGGCTCAGAGAAATGTGAAATCCCAGCCTGATCAGATCAGCTATTTCCCTCTGAAATGTTCCTGTAGCCAGGAAGTGGCCAAGACTTAAACTTGAGGAGGAACCAGGTGAGAGCAGTCTGGGGGCTTAGATGCTTAGATGCCGTTCCAGAGAATTCCACAGTTACAGGAATATATGCCTTATCAGTTGGTATCAGCTGATAAGCCATGTTTTGACTGTCTCTGAAGATGCACTCTCTTCTGAAGGCACAGGCTGCAACTTTTTCAAGCAAGGCGAGTCATTTTTATACTTTCTTGGACATAAACTGAAATCAATTTTGTTCCCTACATGCCCTTAAAAAGGCTCCAATTATTCAACTTTTTTTTCTATTTAGACAATGTATAAGTAGATTCATATCTTTCGTTATTGTTTTCAACGGAAAGTAGTTTTAATATCTCGTTCATTTAGTTAAAAGAGAGTGTGTTTACATTTTCTGAAAAGCTGGTCCATCATCATTTGTGCGTACTCATGGTATCAGGAAGTTCTAACTTTGTTCAAGTAAGAATATATTGACGAATCACAGATTTGTGCTTCAAATAGTTTCAGCACATATTTGTTTGTGAATGAGGCCCATTGTTAGCAGACAAAAATCCTCCCAAACATTCTTAGTTTGACTTGAAAATGTTGGTCGTGAAAAACATTTGGCTTGCCGAGCGGTCTCTCTAAATGGAAAATGCGAGTTCAGAATGATTTCTTGAGACATTTAATTAGAGTGCGAAAAGGTATTATGCTTTCTTTTTTTTTCACTTCAATAGTATTTATGACTCTTTAACAATCTGAACCCTTGGTAAATAAAACTCTGGAATAATTAAATGTTTTATTATTTGAATGGAAAAATGTGCCATGGAAATATGAAATCCTGTATTTAAAGATCGAGTAGGTAGCTTTTTTGTAAAAAATATAATATAGACTTGTAAAAAAGTAACAATGCTCAATCATCACTTCTGGGCCTCCATACGTGTGGTGGTGATGTGTCTGCAGAGACTTTGAAGTCAACTTTGGTCGACACAGGATGTTTGTCATCGTGGGGAGTTGGTATGTTTCC